AATAGAACAGATTTTATATAAACTGGACGTTTTATATTATAAAACGCAAGTGGGCGGAGCACTAAGCCGGTTAGAGTGCATATTGGATGTTCTCCGTAAATAAGAAAGCTACAGTCGCTTCGCAAGCTCCGCTCCTTTTTAGCTTTCTTATTTACGAAGAACACCCAATATGCACTCTAACCTTTACATGGTATATTCTTCTATACATAATCAAATGATCCTGATTTTATATTTATTGCTTTATTAAAAAATGTTATATAAAAAAACGTTATTAGGCTAAAATGGTATAGTAGATAAACATATTTTTAAAAAACATTATGATTTGCAAAATACATAACAATACAAAAAAAGCAATGATAACGGAATCAAAATAAGGATCAATTATAGGACCAAGATCAATATTTTAATAATCTCTTAATTGCGCTTATGTTGTAAACCAATATTTTTTTGGTAAAATGCCATAAATATGGTATTGCAAATTCCTTTTTATATAAATCTATAAGTAAATCTATGAGAATAAACATACAATAAGTTTTAAGATATGACATTGATCCTGGTCCGTAAAATTGATTAAACACGGACATGGAGTGAAGAAGCAGCTTTAATTGTAAGCTCATGATTTTTAGAGAGAAAATCTTCCAAATGCAAAAGAAGATCAATAAACATATTTTTAGATTGATGTTCCGCTTTTCCTTTAACAAAAACATGCGCAAATTTCGTTAAAGTTCAAACAAGTTCATTACGCGGACTTATACAATAATTTGTTTTTGTAAACAAATAACTTTTTAAAGATTTTTAACCGATTTCAAGGAACAGTTTAAACCAAGATGAACTATGATATCCTAAAATAAATCATTTTAAACAAACTAAATCTTTTGTAAACAGATTTTACATGCTATCACTGTTAAAGAAAAGTTAACGGATAAACTTCACGCGACCCTTTTAAAATCTATATGCTCTTATTACGCAAGTTAAATTCACCCCTTTTCACGCACTATATACCATTGACTTGTCATAATGTCACTTTAATATACAGTATCAGGAGTGTTAGATATTAATTTAATACTGTATGCGTTTCTTTATAAAAGATACATTATGCTGAAATTTCATATTTGAAAATATTGATATTTACTTAACAGTCTCTTTTAAATGTAAAATAAAAATATTTTTTAATAAACACACATAGAAAATATGTTACGTTTTACAATATACGCACTATAAGTAAACACAATATGAATACAGTGTTTTTAAAAAACTATTGTGTACGAGAGAACCACCAAATGAACGTGACCAGTAGCATGGAATGCTTTCAAAATACTGCTTTGTGCATTTTTTTTTAAAATTCAAATTCAATATACTCAGTAAGAATTTCATAAGTAGTCGTATTTTACCCAAAGATGAGCGGAGTATGTCTTTTCTTTCTCCACTTACCTTCGACTAACGTTATACCGGTATCTCTATGTTTCAGATTTTTTTTTGTTGTTATCAAAATCTGCCTGGTATTTAACTTCAGTATTGTTGTATTTTTCTGGTCCTACGCGATCATTTATTCTAGTAAGTTAGTGTTGAAAATTGATTACAGCTTAAGTCGGGTCTAGGGTTTGTTGCGCTTGTTCATTATCTCTCAGGAGCAGAATAAATTTAAACGAGTCTGCAATTTTTGAATAATAATGCAGTTTTCTTTGCTCTCAAGGATCATCTATATTCAAATGCGTTATACCAGAAACTTTTAATTATTTCGAATCGCTGCTAGAGGAAGCTATCCGGTCTATACACAATTCCGTCTGAGACATCCGTTATGCTGGAAATCGTTACATTACCTTAAATTGACATAATGCCCATCCAAGGGTATATATTGAGTAAACAGGTGAAAGTCAAAAGTTTACATTTTGCCCTAATTCCATTCAGTTGTATAATTAATACACATGAACGATAAATAACTCAAGGAAATTTATATAAGTATTCATCTGAAATTACGTATAACGCTCAGTTTGGGAGCGGTCTATTTATATATCAGGCAGATTTATATTTTATTGCAAACGTTGGTCAATCACCATTATTACAGGAATTGTTTTGAAATATATAGTCAATTCAACTCCATTTGACAATGAAAATGAGCATTATGTCATTTTAACCATTCACAAAACCGTAAGAAAAAGAATCTTCTTTCTGAATGACAATTTTAATGATTTTGTTTTTTTAATTCATTTTACGGACACAATCCGTTTGTTATCAGTATGACTGTAATATTAACAGGGAAGAACTGAATATAAGGAGAATTTTCATTGGTCATTTTGAAATTACAAACTGAAATCGGTGAATCTCATTCGTCATTCTAAAATAAAGTGTGATAGTCTAAAATGAGGTGTGCTGGATAGTTCTTACCATTCTAAGATAAAATGTTAAGAATTGCTTTATCATGATGAAAGGTAAGAGATAGTTTTGCCACTATAAAATAAAATGTTGAGGATGGTTCTAAAATTAAATATACAGGAATGACGATAGTTTTTTTCAAAAATATTTAGGTTAATTTGTAAATGATAACAAAATGTATCAAGTCAAACGTAAAACAATTAAAAGGGACACCTTTAATAGAAATTGTTATTCTCTGAATAAACATCAATATAAATATGCTATAATTGAATTTCAATGTTTACAAAATGGATATTTTCTTATAATTATCATGTCATTGTTTTGCAAGCGTTGCTGGCATTTCTTTTGTTATTGAAAACCTTGAAATAAAATAATTGTTCATGTCAAACAGATTTACTGCGGCCTAGTACCATTTTAATAGATACTTCTTGTTTTATATACAAGGGTCGATGTTAATTTGCTCTAACAATAAATGATAATATTATTGCAATGCTTTTGGTTATGAAAAGGTAGTGCATATTAAAAATGTAAATTATTGTGGTTTTGATTTATGAAAAAGAAATGAAATAAAAATTATATATTTCAATTTCCATGTTTGCATTTTAAAATTAAAAAAATAATACGATTTAAAAAAAGTTTTAAAAAGTCATCCCGTACTTCACTACAGTGTTGCTTTATTTTTATGGTATTTCGTTATCATTGCTTTAAGCACAAAGGATAAAAATTTAGTTTGCATTGAGAGACACAATTTACTTCCAATTTCTTAAACAGGATAAGTTTTTGTGTGTAAAATTCAGATGTTTTGAAATAACAAAAATGTATTTGTCTATATCTATTTTTAGTATGTCAATAATGTCCCTGTCTTGACCACTTTTACAGCAGATAAAAGAGTTAGCCCAATGTCATTATATTTTATCACGGGATAGCCCTCGAATTGTTTGCAATACGATCCAATTTTTAACCAGGATACAGTCCACGTCAGGGGCATACCTCGGCTTATTTTGAGTGTACGCCGAGTGCCGGTTTTTGGCCGAAGGAACGCCAGAGACTAATATATCATATATAGCTATGTGCTATAACTAATGATTTAGGGGATATTTAAGCTAATTGTACTACTATTGTCTTTTTCTATAGTTATGAAAATAACATCAAGTACATATATTGAATGTAAGAGAAATAGCACGAAGTCTAACGTGTACACTGTTTTAAACAGTTCAAAATATATTTGCTTTTAGTAAAACAAAACATAGCCAGGTGTCTCTCTTGTAAAAAAGATGGGTTTTATCTCCTTTGTAACAAGTTTAGTTTCTTCTTTGTTACTTTTCTTATGTTCCACCATAACTTAACTTGAGATATAATCAAGGAAAATATGCTTTAAAATGATCTGTATGACTTTAATACAAACACAACAGCTTAAATGTTTTGTGTAACGAAAGGTTATCGTATTCACAGATAAAATGTAGTATCGCACGATCATTTAGCTTCCTTAAAATATCTTTAATGCGTATTATGTCAATGGTGCAGACAATAAGTATTGACTTTTACATTTTTGGTCTCAACTCTAGTCTTTCAATTTCCATTCGAAATATTTAAGTTATTTCATTACGAAGTTAAATGCCTCACGCACATAAAGTATGTTAGTATAAACAGACTCGCAAATTTGTTATCTAAAGTCGTCGAAAATAACAGAATTTAGACATGATGTGTCTTATATGGTTATACATCGTTCTCGTTATATATTTGTCTATGTTTCAATATGTATAGATGAGACTACGTATAATAAAGAATATATATCATTGTTTTCAGAAGTGTGCATTTTTTACTCAATAAAATAATACAGTAGAAACAATTTTCTGTAGTGATATATTTTGTAAATACTGGTATTCTTTTTTACGGTCAAATAAACAAAAGTTGAATTTGGTTTGTGACGATGGATGATGGCAATAGTTCACTGCAAAGATTTGATTCACAGTGTCAAAATTATTCTACATAATTTGAAATGAATATAAGTTGAATGAATGTTAATATACTGATTTATAGTTACAAGGTAAAATATAAAAAGACATTCCATACAGCTAACTCACTCCCTTCAATTGTGCTGCAAACGCCAAATTGCAAACAAGATCTTTATTTTGCATATATACCTAGATGTAAAAAATGAAATAAATGTTTACTTTTCACTGATTTGATTCTTCTGAAGAAAAAAAAATGATTGTAATATATTTCATGAATTTTTACCCTTATTTGGAGATTGACGAGGATTATTAGCATTTATTAACGCTTTACTCAAAATGAAAAAAAGAGAAAATTCCAAAGAAATTGTTTATATCATCTTTTTACTCCCTTTCTTCATAATTGAAGTTTTGATTGTGCATAAAAAGTTAACGCATATTCGAATAAGGTAACATCCTAAGCATACCTGTAGAATCAATTAGCAGCTACGAATATGTTGATAGATCTACGCCCAGATTTCATTTTTGATTTTTTTCAGAAACTTGTTCTTTTTATACGCCCGCGCGTATTTGCGTATCGGTAGGTACGCCACTGCACGTATCATCACTTTGTAATGGATGACACAGGGCAAAACAACTGTAGTAATATAAGAAAAGAAAAATGTTTGTCTCAAAGGTAGAGCAGAAGACTACAATCGTGTCTAAATCTTGTTTTTACTTGATTGGTTAATCTGTTTAAGGAAGAAAAAATAGGAACTTGATAAAAAGGTGCTCATTACCTTCATAAGTAAAGGACGGGGGATCATCTCTTACAGGTATGTCTTCTTTTAATATATACAATTTAAAACATTTTTCTATTTTATTTCACCTATTGCTGTGAATTTCATGCCGAAAGATAATGCCAATAACGTTATGTTTCAACAAAGTAACACTTACAGGAAAATGATAGTAAACAACTCTTTAGCGTTAAGTGCGATGATTTAGTAATTTATTATTATTATTACTATTATTACTAATGTCTTTATAATTACCAATAATGATGATTATTTATTTATTTATTTTGTTTATTTATTTATTTATTTTTGTTGATTGATTTATTTATTTATTTATTTATCCATCTATTTCTTTATTGCAGCAATTAAAATTTTAATAATAATAATAATAATAATAATAATAATAATAATAATTATAATAATAATAATAATAATAATAATAATGAACATCATTATCGATTATAATAATAATTATCATTATAAATGTTGCTTTTACAATAATTGTATTTTATCAAGTACCATAAGAAAATTAAGACAGGATGCTGAAGATAATAAAATTGTCAATTGGGCTTCAAAAGTAAGAGATTTATTACAAAATGCTGGTTTTAATGATGTTTGGTTGTTTCCTTCTTCAGTAGATATAAATAAGTTTACAGTAATTTTTCGTACACGACTTCAGGATATATATGTTAATAACTGGAGACAGGATATCTCATCCAGATCTTCACTTTTATTATTCAAAGAATTAAAACCTATTTTTGAAATATCAGAATATTTAACAAAGATAAAATGTCCAATATCAAGAAAGACTCTTGCTAAATTACGTTTGTCGTCTCATCAACTTTTTATTGAAACTGGAAGACATAGAAATATTGATAGAAATGATAGGAAATGCCAACTATGCCAATGTAATGATATTGAAGATGAATTTCATTTTGTATTAATTTGCTCAGCTTATACAACATTAAGGAAACAATGCATTCCTAGATATTATTATACACGCCCAAGTATGTTAAAATTTACTGAATTGTTACAGTGTACAAATGCAAACATTTTAAATAAATTAGCCAATTATTGTAAAAAAGCATTTGATGTTCGAAGGAATTCATTAAATCATTAAAAAAAAGACATAATAAATGACTCATCACTAGAATGTACTCAAACATATATTTAAAGAAAAAAAATGAATTAGAAATTAAATACAGCAATATATTTATATATATGTATTAATTGTATATAATAATCTATTAATATGTTATATAAAATGTCACATTACTTCATGTATGTAAATAAATGTATGTATGTATGTAACGATGAACTGTAAATGTTCAAGTTAGACAAATAAATTTTCTGTTCTGTTCTGTTCTGTTATTTCTTATATTATTTATATCGTATTATCATTATAAAACTAATTATTGTTTTGTTATCTTGTTATATCTTTGTTATAATGAAATATTGATAAACACAACAAAAATGTATTTTTTAAATATTCTTTTTAAATGTATTTTAAAAAAATTATGTTACAGAGTTTTAAATTAATAAATAGTAAATAACAATACTTTGATTTAGAACAATTTGCGTTTTGTTACCTTTGGCATTTTTCTCGATTCAAATGTCATTACTTAAAAATAGCTTTAATCAAAATCGTTATGTTGACTTCATTTTTAAATTTCTTTTAATTGCGCACCGTTCTCTGCTGATGTCATTGTTTTACGTGCGCCTTTTTTCCGCCCTTCTGCTGCACTGAGTTTTTTATACACGTGTCGTCAATTACATATTACCTGTCATGATTTTTTTTATTTCTATAATGAAATAGTTTCAAACAAAGAATTTCTCAATTATTCATACACAAGACTTTATGTTTGTATATTGTAAATGAACGTTATTTTAACTTACACTGTACATATCTTATGTTTTATGTATTCTGTGTATTCGTAGTATTTGTGTGCAACCTCAGTAGAGCCACCCTCTGCAAAACAATAATAATACAAGTTTGAAATCTTCCAAAAGAAAAACTTAACCATTAATGTAGCCTATCTAGTACAACACCTCAACGTATACGAAAAGTTGTAACTCCATCCAAGAGGGTGTTGCTTTGCAAAGGGTTGTATAGTATATTTAATATAACAATGTAACTGTAGACTTTTCGGCTAAGTCCATTTCTCACTTGTTATAGGGACACATACACAGTAAGATTCGAACGAAATAACCATGCAGTTCTTTGGTGTTTTAATTCTGGCAGGAATGTTGTGCATTTCACTTACTTTTGCAGACAGGGTAAGTTTGTGCATTTGTTGTTTCTATCACAACGCAAATCCGGACTATTCCTGATCACATGTATACTGTAATTAGTTATATATAGATAACTTACTGTGTAGCTACGGAATTAATACATCATTGATTCATTCAATGTGTATGGTTTATTGCAAGCGTAAACACCTTTTAAACTTCGACAGGTGTATCATTTATTGCAAGCCTAACAATAGTAACTTATATAATTTCTTGTTAGTACATGCAGTTCACTGTGAAGTTGATTGAAAACCACAGTAACTAAATGATTATTGGTTCTTTCTCCAAGAAATATTTGTTCGGAAACATTCTTGCAAGTAATGGTGAAATATATCATAATTTATAATTAAATTGAGTACAATCGTTAGATTTTTATCAAAATTACTTTTCATTTTATTTTAGATCTTCCGAATCGAGTCACATAAGAAGGGTAATGAAAACGTGCTAATTATTAAAGAAAGAGACTGGGAAGAGGGTCACGGAAATTGACGTATTTGAAGAGGATGTAAGTAATTGTATAATTGTCAAATCATTACAAGATGAATCGTAGAAAATTTTGATAAATATTTTTCTCAGTGACGAAATACCCATCTTTTTCAATAACATTTTATCTATAATATACACAAGTTACATCGAAAAAGTCACAGGCTATTGATGCTTCAAATGATTGTTGGAGTTCCAGAAAAAGTGTTATGGATTGCGTCGGGGGGCATACGTTCTGTGAACGTCGCCTTTGCCTTGTTGATATTCGTTCTAATCTATATTTACTAATTGGCACAAAACACATAATATATATTGTACAACAACATTGACCTGGCACTCTTGCATTTGACCCTGTTGTCGGTATATTCCGTAAACGTTACGATCTACCTGTAAATCAATATGAATGTAAATATCGAATTGATAAAATTGTGTAAATTAAAAATCAATCTTAGCGCAGTTGGTAAAGGAGGTGTAACTTCACTTGAAGAATTTAGACGAATTCTGGTAGGTTCGAATCCTATTACTACAACTTATTTTTTATATTTAAAATTGCCATTCTCTCAAAACTATTGCAAATCTTTTATTTGTGTGTACCAACATTGTGTGTAGTATTTAAAATAATTGCCTTTAAAGCGCGTATGCGCTAAAGCATAAACGATTTCATAATGTCACAAAAAGAACCGATGAAAGATACTGTTATAAAAAAAATATGATACTGTTATAAAATAAAAAAAAATATAATTGTGTTTAAAAACACCACTAAAAAGGTTTTCTTAAACTAGGTGTAGTAAAACTATTTCAAATTAATTCTTGCGAGTAAATAAAAAAAAATCAAAATGGGGTGTTGGTAAAGGATCGAACCATAGACCTTCAGATCGGTAGTCCGACATCTATGCCAATACACCACACCTTACTGACGAGTGAAGTTAGCAAATATATTGATATATTCGATAGATACTGGTCAGTGTTTATTCAAATGACCTTTACGAAAGTTAATGAAGTGCAAGGTCAATGTTGTTGTACAATACTTTTGTAACATTTTGTTGTTATATACTTTGCATATATTTCATGTTTTCCCTTTATCATTACTGTCGTTGTATTCAAAACCATAATCAAATATTCGGAATATTTCTCACGCTTTATTACAACTAATTTTAGCCGCGTCACAACAAAACCAACATAATGGGTTTGCGACCAGCATAGATCCAGACCAGCCTGCGCATCCGCGCAGTCTGATCAGGATCCATGCTGTTTGCTATCAGTTTCTCTACTTGTAATAGGGTTTGTAAGCGAACAGCATGGATCCTGATAAAACTGCGCGGATGCGAAGGCTGGTCTGGATCCATGCTGGTCGCAAACTCATTATGTTGGTTTTGTCATGACATGGCTCAATTTGAATTCCCTTGCCTGAATCAGGCAAATGTTAATCAGGCAGCAATAAACGAAATAAGCAAATTAACATAAACGCACACTTATTTCAGGAATATCAACTTGGAAAGCCAGAAGGCGAAGATTATTGCCTCGTCTCACGATATCTGATTAAGGTAACACTTTACATCGTTTTCAAGTGTAAATTATAGAATACATACGCATTTGCGCTAATCCTATCCGCTTTATTATTAATTAGACTTTGTTAATAGAATACTAAATACTATGTATAGGTTCAAGTTTTTTAGTACTACAAAATTTAATTGGTCAGGCGCGCGCGGCGCAGCAAAGTGTTTTAAATTATGTTAATAAACAGTCGATTTACTAGACTGATTACAGTTTGGCGATTTACTTAAGTTAATGTGTTACGATTCATTTGGAATACTGCAATCCTATTGGACAAAAATAATTTCAAACACTAAAGATTTGATCAAGATGTAAGCTTATCCTTTCCACTTATAACAATTGTATTAAAGAATTATTTAGGTAACTTTTCAATCCTATCGTATTATCAACTTGAACAAGGACAACTTTTAATCCTATTCAATTATTAAAAAAGAGAATTTAATAAATAATTTTGGTAAATATTCAACACAATCGACTTATAAACTGTGAATAAATTATAAAGAAATATTTCAATACTATTCATTTCTAAAATAAATAGTGTATTGAATAATTAATTAAGTAAAACAGATAAACTTATTGTATTAAGTAACTTAATCAGGTTATTCACCAATCGTAACCACTTGCTGCATATTATTAACATCACGCTCCATTTGTCATAAACATTTCATGAACAATGCATTATATATACTATGATAGTATAGTAAGATATGAAAATAGTATTTAACTGAAGTATAATTTATCTTTTGCAAAAAAGATTGAATAAATACTTGACATAATGAATACACATTCGTCCTATGATTACGTTTTATGGCGACTTTATTTGCAAAAGTAGATTAAATTAAAATAACGAAATTAAAATGAAAACCGCAATGCACTCATTTTTTCCAAAACAAATATTTTAATGTATTTTTTCTGATATGTTATCAGGCAGCTGATTCCCCGTATTGTTTCAAACGTATAAATGGTCCAATAGACATGCAAGAAGAATTACAAATCGATCTTACCGAATGTGGAGACCGTGAAATCGTCTTCCTAGAGCCAACAGAATGTCGTAAGGCTGACACGGACATGGATAGAGAACCTAGAAACGGTAAGACAATATAAAGGTTTAACACGAATCATGTGATAACAATGTTTTATTTCAATACGTTTTTTCTTCATATCTTGCTATATATACATGTATATTGCTTATATGAATTAGATACTTCTAAATGAAATATTGAGAAATATTGAGGAAATAAAATGCGTATTTTCATTTTCCGTATTTTCACTGAAAACATTTATATTTCACTGCAGTGAAACATATTTTCTTTATTTCAATGGTGTCTTGCAGAACTACGTTCTTCTTTATTCAGTCAATATACAAAGTTAAAGAAGTCCCACAAATCGAAAGGTAAAAAAAGAGAATAATGTATATACTAAACAGAATATTCAAGGGTTTTTTTGTATAAATACAGGACCTGTTTTCATCTTGTGATATGATGTTATCATATTTCACTTGTGACTACGGCCACTCGTGCAATATATATTTTCATACTACCCAATGAAAAAAGATCCTAAATTTATAGAAAAATCCTCTATAAGCACCGGATGGAAAGAAAATCGTATTTGTAAAGAAGTGTGAGCAGATGTGAGGGGTATGGTGAAGTAATGTCATAAAGTTATGTCTGATAATATAGTTTACAAATGATGAGGTATAATTATATAATAGAGTTAATGAAAGAATTCGTAATTCTATAATTGTTTCATACACTTGACCATAATAGATATAACAAGAACGTATTACATTAGGCAAGTGAGACTAGTAAATGCATGCGAGTCAAGTAAGGGTACTCCACTTATCACCCTAGTATTTAGATATTAAAAAAAACCCTCAACAGTATTGGTAGATTAGATAAGATATATTTCTTCTTTTTCAGGTCTTAGAGAGAAAAGGGGGGTAAATTGCTACACCAGAGAAGAAACCATTGTATATTGTAAAAGGTATGAAAACGTGTGCACACGACGGGGAGGGTTGTGGAATAAGTGTAAAGCATACAGGACCCAATGTGCGGAACAGGATACGCGCGTTGTTACAACACGTTATTGCTCATAAGGAAAATGGTATCGTAGTGTAAACATCAGCAACCAAAGATAATATATTTACGAAAGACTTTAACTGTTAAGAATGTATGTATTTGTATGACTTACTTCTATGACGTATGTGTCAATCCAACAGAGGTTAACATTTCTATTCTGTGTTTTTTGTTTTCATTTAAACCATTTATTACTATTTGAAAATTTAACCAGGTTATAGTTTTTAACTTTATAAAAAAGTAAAGGAGAACGTCAAACGTATTCGTCTTAACCACGACGAAATCGTATTGGGATGATTAACACTTCAAATTACTTGATTAACATTTGACAAATAGTTTTTCTATTAGACTTAATGAAATTAAAGTTTATCATCAGACTTATTTTCACAGACTTATTTTCAGTCCTTTCAAAGGAGGATAACTGATGCATTTGTCTATTTAATCTCATTTTTGTTTAGGTTTTCGTTTTCGATATTACTCACATAACTTTATGTCACAAAACAAAACTCAAGCAACGACATAATACATTTGTTATACCCTTTCACTTACAACAAAAAGGTTGAACTTTCTTTGCAAATATGTCGCTTTATAAGTATATCAAGTATATCTACATGTTAAATTTATTTAAAAACAGTCCTTTTTACAATTTTTGAATTTTGCATAATGACTTAAATGCGAAACAGCAACATGAAAAGCCTGATAAGAATGCCTAAAACAATCCAGACCGGTAACCCATCATTTTGTTAAAAATGTTTAATTTTATCATATTCTAATATTATGCAAATAAATTCTACCAATAAGTTTTATTTTGCCTATATGTTTTTGTTAAAACTGCAGATAACGTCTTTAAACAAGGTACTTGATACCTAACATGATCAAATTGTCTCGTTTGTATTGTTACTGTAATGAATATCTGATGTATTTATTAACATGCTACAATTCTGATTTGTTATAACTCATGTCTGAATAAATAAACGATTAACCAAGTTTGTTCGTCGCTTGTTATGTAATTTTGTTACTAGGATGTCAGCTGGGGTATCTTAGATGAGTCTTGCTAAATTTTAAACATGTCAGTCATTAAATTTTGAAAATACAATTTATTGAATATTGAACCCTTCTCATCTCTACAACGTAAAAATATGTCTGTTATTCCCATTGTATGCTCTAAGAAGAAAAAACATGTTGTATTCGAAACCTTACTACAAGTAACTCTTGATTTTGTTATATTTTTTCCTCTCTAATAACCATCATAATGACCCGAAGTTTTCCGGTTCTGACGCTTGGAAGTTTCGCTACAAAAGGTGATGAAACCTTTACAAACTTAAATATCATAAATGAACTTTTCATTTTTCAATCAAGACAAAATTATTGGTTATTTTCTACTAAATTGTCAATTACTGTTTGAATTGTGAATAGTACACACCATTTGTCTACACTAGTCGCATTGTTCTTTTCAGTTTCTGTAGGTAGATTAAATGTTAAATTTGCACATTTACAAAGCGCAAAACAATGAATAGAAATCTACTTTTTAACTTTCTTTCAAATAACAATAGATGTTACAACAAACGCGAATAGTATTTCTTTTGTAAAAAAAAGTTGTGATTGTTTGTGATGAAATTCTTAATGCAATGCAACAATCTGATAATTTGAATAAGACAGATAAGTGACATATAGGTATCTATCCATCACCGTATCGAGAATCAAAATATACAAAATTCACACTTTATGAGAGGTGTTACAATATGAATGCAACTAGGCAAATATCTCGCTTTTAACCACTTTTTGCACGAACTATGTACATGTATTGCATAGATGGCATTATAAGTTCTCGATCGATACAATACATTAACGCTGCTCGTGTATACTAAAGCTGACATCATTGGGAAAAGGTCTCCTTCCACTGACAAAATACGGTCCTATATCAAGAACCGCTGTATTCTTGCGATACAGGCGAAATACATATCAAAGGAAATAAGTCGTTTTTATGGGAACAATTACTTTCCTTTTCATCTGTCACACGGTGGTATAAAAAATTAAAAGTGGTGTGGATTCAGTAAATGGTTGAAAAATAAAGGATCTGATTGCCACTAATGCAAGATTTACAACTAGGTATATAGCTATATATGTTGGTATCTCTATTGGAGCCGCTCATACAATTATCAGACTAATATAAAAATGAAAAGGATAAGTGTCAGATGGATACCCCATCTCCTTACAGAAGAGTAAATACTTGCTTGGGTAAGAATCTCCAAACAATTGTTGAAACAGTTCCCTAAATACAACAATTGAACTTTCGTAAATATCATAACTGGCGATGAGACGTGTGTTCGCTTTTATGAGCCCAGGCGAAAGATGCCTAACAAAATATTGGCAATTAACTTGCATAGCAAAACGCACCATGAGCGTCAAAAAGGTCATGTACGTAATTTTCTTTACCAATCAAGGTACTGCTATTTAAATTGCCGTACCAAAGGGTAAATCTGTAAATGCCAAGTTTTACAAAGGCAAGGTCCTTCATAAATTAAAGAAATATTTCAAAAACCGTCGACCAGCAACTGGTCTCCGTGGTGTCAGGTTGTTGCATGACAATGCTTCGTCACACAAAGCGGCCATTGTACGAGAATATCTGAAACAGGAAAAGGTTGTCGAGCTTCCTCACCCTCCTTATTCGCCAGATCTTGCCCCTTGTGACTTTTTCCTATTTCCGAGGTCCAAAAAGCACTTTGCTGGAAGAAAATATCAAAAGCGAAAAAAATTCGGTTCGGCTATTTTCCCGCGTCTGAACATTACGAGTTATACCTCGAAAAGATTATGAAAACGCTTTTAAAAAATAGAATTAAAAGACTAAAACTTTGAATATCACATGGTGGTGAGTATTTTGAAGGATTGAGATAATTATTTTGGCACTGTTTGTCAAGCACTTCTGAAATTGACCCATTTAATACTTTTTTAAGATTATTTCAAAAGAAAACATACAAAGTTTTAATATACTAATAAATAGAATGGTCAGGGTTCATTCATTTATTAAACTTTATTAAATGTGATTTTCCAATATTTTCTACAAAATGATTGATTAAGAGGTGGCTAATATCCTGAATAGGTGAAACGTTTTTTAAACGTGCTGGAATCATCACCGTCTAGCATTGCACAAATTATATCTATATACTTTTATTATAATTTTATAGGATTATTAATATTGTTCCAAGCAAATTATGAGTGACATGCAACGATTCCCTGGTCAGTGCGTGGCAATATGATATTACCTTCTGTTTCAGGTTCTGTTTTACGTCACACCAACAAAGTTTAGTATCATTAAAGTCCATGGCTTGATTTAAGACCCCGTTTGCGAGGGACACATAGTTTACATTAATCACCCTGCCACAAACGCTCCAAATATTCCCTTAAATGTTCTTACATGTATATGAAACATAACCTTACGCGCACGTTATTCTGTACGATAGCTATAGTTTAACATATTTCCTAAATATTAATAAGGTTTAAGTAGAACCGAAAGTACAACAGTTAGAGTTATTCTGTAAAGTATGAAAAAAGATATAAAAGATTGTCCAAGGATTTCTAATCAATATTCTTAGCAAAAGCACATCAAATTAAAATACAATATTTAAAATGATCTTTACATTATGAACTTATCTCAAAAGTTATATATAATTTTCTTGTCAATTGCAAAATCTATTAAACCTGTCAAACCTCACCCTTTCTGGTCATTGGCTCATGCAATAGTGGTACACATGTCGTATATCTGTAGTTCAAACCTAGTGTATATTATAAATTCATCTCAATAAAATAATATAAAAATAATTTGGTCAATAACAATACCAATATTCGTTAAACCAATAAAGGGTCAACTGTCTGGACACTAGTGCTTCTAGTTCATACCTTGTGCATATCATAAATTCATCTCGATTAGAAAACATACTACCCTGGTCAATTGTCATGTCATTGTCCAATTAAACAATTAAGGGTCATCACCATGTTTTGTCATTTGGTCTAGCGCACTAGTGGTACACATGTCGTACACTTCTGGTTCAGATCTATGCACACTACGATCGTATGTGTTCACGACTGAGAACATTTCGTGTGAACTCATATTAAGTTTGTACTGAAATAACAACTTCCGCGATAAATTGTTATATAGAATATTTCGATGTCATTTGCATATTATGTATTTTAAATCAGTTGTCATATATGTATAAATGTATACAATACTGTAATGTCTCTGTTCATAATAAAAATATGCTTTATTTTTAACTGATTAATACCATATATCAATCGATTGTATCAACTATATCTTTCTTAAAATGTGTTATTTGCTAAAACGTGTTATTAATTAGGATATACAATCTAAAGTCGTCAACATTACTTCTATTTAAGTTTTGGATATCGAACCAATCTAAATATATTTGGTAAACACAGAAAAGAATTATAAGATAGGCAATAAAATAGTTTTGATTAAGCATTGTCTGTCAAAACGTAAAGAGCTTTTCAAACCATTTATTATCAAGCGAGTCAATAACTTTAAATCGCGCTAGCATGAAAACAAGAATTTGTAGAACCTTCGACAAAAATTACAGTTGAAATTCTAAACGTTATTGATATATATAAGAAAATATCAAACATACTATCTTTCTATTTGGATTCCTTTAAAAGCTGTTTGCATAACATAAAGACTATAAGATTTATACTATTTTTACATGTTATACATGTTGACAATAAAACAACTTGAAATTGCTACTGGATTAAATCATTTTTAAAAAATGGCTGAAGGAGGTGGTGTGGATATTAATACTGGTGTTCTTCACGACGAAGAATTTGATTACCCTTGTACAATGTGTTTAAAGAAGAACAGAAACAAAGAAGCAAATATTTCTGTGTTAATTGTAATGACAATTACTGTGATACATGTATTAAAGTTCATGACGAAGTGCTTACACTTTCCAGACAAAGGAAGAACATATTACGCTGTCATCACCACCAACAAAAACAGACTCGGGTACAAATCATGTTTCAACAGAAAAATGTGATTTACACCGTCAAATATTTATATAATATGTATTGCCGCGACCATGATTATGTTGGATGTGGAATCTGTATTGCTTTTGATCATATATAGTATCTCTTTGTTTTCATTTCATTTTATAACTTATTAGAAGTTAAAAGTAATAAATTTAGGTATTTGTTACTGTTCAAGTAGTGTAACATATGATAAGAAGTAAGTCAAACGTCCATAAAATGACTTGCAGCTATTGTTAACGTCTTTACAAATTACGATTTAAAATAGATGTATCAATTTTGTAATGGATTATTTTTGGTGTGAACTTTTCTATACGTATTAGCAAGAATTAGTCCGCTACTTACAAACGTGTGTATTTTGAATGTCATTCAACAGAAAATGAAAGCTTGTTTTGTTAATTTATTTCTTTTTATATTTCTTATCTGCTTCTCGAATCGGCTTATCTAATTGGCCTTTTGATCTTAAAATGTCTATTTCATTTTTATAAATTATATAAGTTTTATGTCTAGTGGAGTTGTAATGTTTGTAAATAGATGTATGGTATATAGGTCTATTCATAACATTGAAATGCATTTACATTTACAGACAATGTGAGAACACAATTTATATACCAGAATATCTGAAGATAAAGAAAAAAGAAAAAAAATCGACAAAAGATGTTAAAAAGAAAACAGCTGAAAGTATATCATATCTAAAATACTATCTAAAAGATCTGGAACAGATGAAGCAAGAACTTCTGAATAACAAAGCTTCAACACTTCATTCTATAAGTCAATTTAGAAAAGAAATAAATGATAGGCTGGATGAACTCGAAAAGGAAACAGTAGATTACGCAGTTACAAGATTCAATGGCACCATAGCCAAGTTAGATAACAAAATGAAAAAATGTGAAGCATTGAAAACTAGCTTAGTGTCAATAAAAGACAATATTAAGACGAATCGGGAGAATAAGTTC